AAAAAAAAAAAAAAGCAGAAAACACGGATGGGGGGGGGGGGGGGGGGGGTGGGGTGGGGTGGGGTGGGGTGGAGGGTGGGGATATCTCTGACTCTGTTGCCTGACTTTGGGACCCTTTCCTTCTGCCGGATTGCCTCATCCAGCCTTGGAGGAGAGGATGGCAGAAAGTGTGTGTGGGGGGTCTGGAAGGAAGGAAGGTAGGGAGCTGGTGACAGGGGAGGGAGGGCAAGTTTTGGTTACAAAGCAAAACAAGAAAAAAATCACATATGTACAAGAACTGGGATGTGAAATCAGGGACATGGCTCTTCTTTTTCTTTTCTTTTCTCTGGTTTTGGTTTTGTTGTGAGACAGGGTTCCTCTGTGTAGTCCTGGCTGTCCTGGAACTTGCTCTGTAGACCACGATGGTCTAGAACTCAGGGATCTGCCTGTTTGCTGGGATTAAAGCCTCCTGGGGACTGTTCCTTTTCTTAAAAGTTCTGTCCTTTTTAGGAAGGGGAGAGGGTGGAGGCACAGTGGTTCGTAGGGGATGACTCTACTGGTTCTAAATGAAGGTGGGGGTGAGGAAGAAGTCACTTGGGCAGGACAGGGGAACCTGGTGACAAGAGACTCACATTGTTGTGGACCTTGGATCAGGTCCCTAGTCAATGCAGTTCCCTCTCTGCCCTGTCTCTGGAGTCTGTCAGTTTCCTCAGTGTGTGTGAGAGTCTGCTCCCCTGAGATGCTGAGGCTTCACCGGACCCATCGTGGGTGGGAGTGGGGGTGGGGGATGACACATTGATGGCATGTCAGGAGCTACAGAACAGAGAAGGGAATTACATAGAGCTGCCTTGACCCTGTGCAGGCACCATGGCTCTGCTCTTCCCTTCCCTTCATATTGCATTTGCTGGAAAAATCCTATCTTCCTTGGTGGGAATATTACAGAGGTCTGTTGTTTCTAAGTTAGGTCAGGGTCTCCAGTCCTACTCAGAGGTCCACGCCACCAACTCTCTCTCTCTCTCTCTCTCTCTCTCTCTCTCTCTCTCTCTCTCTCTCTCTCTCTCTCTCTCTTTCTCTCTCTCTCTCTCTCTTTTGATTTTTGAGACCTGGTTTCTTTGTGTAGCCTTGGCTGTCCTGGAATTTGCTTTGTAGACCATGCCGGCCTTGAACTCACACAGATCCACCTGTCTCTGCCACCTGAGTGCTGGGATTAAAGGTGTGCTCCTCCACTACCTGGACCATTTAGACTCTTATGAAATGGAAATTTCCCTGTGGCCCAGTAGGGACAGGAGTCAGCTTCTTGTTCTTGCTCCCGTGACCATGGGGAGGCAGAGGCCAGCTATATGGGCAAAGAGCTGAAAAGAACAAATGTGGGCAATGGCAATTCTGCTGGTGTCCCCTGGTGTATTGAATGCTCCTCACACAGGAGAGAGCACAGGGAAGGGCCCATACACAATAGTCCCCTTTGGGTCACAGGGTTAGAGACAGCCTGGACCCAGGGGCCTGCCACACCTCCTCTGTATGTTGTTACATGTATGTATGCACCCATGTGGAGGCCATAGGGCAACCTTGGCTGTTGTTCCTCAGATGTTCTCCACAGTGTTTATGGAGTTAAGGTAATTGGCACTGTTTATTGGGGCACTGTAAGTGGCTTGTCAAATAGGCTAGGCAGGCTGGCCATTAGCCTGTCTCCATTCTCCCCAGCACTGGAATTACTAGCACACATCACTACGCCAAACTTTTGAGACCTGGGTTATGGAGGACTGAGCTCAGGGCTTGCATAATAAGCACTTTGCTGACTTCATCTCCCCCAGCCTATCAATCATCTATAGACTGAGATCACCAGTCAGGAACACTCCAGTGCAAGGGTATCTGCCTGCAGTCACTTTCAGAGTGGCAGAAGTCAAGGTGGAAGAGACACTTAAAAAACAAAATCTTTTAGCCTGGTTTTGGTGGTATGTGCACACCTTTAATCCCAGCACTCAGGAGGCAGAGGCAGGTGGATCTCAGTGAGTTGGAGGCCGGCCTGGTCTACAGCGAGAGTGCCAGGATGGGCTGGAAAGCTACACAGAGAAACCCTGTCTTGAAAAACAAAACAAAAAAAATCTTTTAGCCACATCTCCCTTTGTCACTCCAGGACAACAGAGCCCTTGCCCCAAGGCCCCTCCTTTTCCTGACCCCAGAGAGGTTACCCACAGATTCCCATGGTATAGCAAGGCTCCGAAGGGCTGGAGAGATGGCTCAGTGGTTGAGAGCAGTTGTTCTTGCAGAGGACCTGGCTTTAATTCACAGCACCCATATGGTAGCTCACAATTGCCCATAACTCCAGTTCTAGGGGATCTGACACCGTCTTCTGACTTCTGTGGGCACTAGGCACACACATGGTACACAGACATACATGCAAACAAAACATTCATACATATAAAATAAGGAAATATTTTAAAAAGTGTATTATTATTATTATTATTATTATTATTATTATTATTGTGACTTACATGGACAGGTGGCCAGTGGGGCTCACTTTGGAGACACAAGCCCTGCTTTGC